ATATGCCACAAAGTAACCTAAAGTTAAAAAAGTTGGTAAAATTACCGACAATATTTAAAGTAAAAGGACAAAATGCAACAATGTGACATTTTTTGGGGAAACGTTTCGCTCTCCGGAGCTTTACAAGCCATTACATTAAAGTCCTGGAGAGCAAACGTTGCCACAATAAATGCCATTATTTTGCACTTGTGTCCTTTTATTTTACCTCTAAAGTTAAAATAGACTTTTTGAGGGAGGCTTTTTGTTTTTCCCTCCCGGGGGTTTCCTTTAATTTTGGTCTTAGGTGGGGATTGGAATTTCTTATCCGCCCTGGGGGGTGGCCAAGGGGGGCGGGGGGTTTCACTGTCCCCAAAAATCTGTGGAGGATGAGGGTTTTTTGATGTTGTGGGGAGGGGTGGGTGGGGGTTGGAACATACTTTGTGTGCAAGGGTTTTCGTGGCCCGATGGGTAGGGGTTTATTGCAACCATGGGAATTGATTGGGCGCGTGCAGACCCTTGATTTTTGGGGGTTTTTTGATCACCGGCGTCTAGCGGACTTGGACTGGGATTGAATGACAGGGTTTTTTCAGGTATGGGAAAAGAATGGGCAGCTCTTGGGGGGAAGGGGGTGGGTCCGCTTTTCAGGATTTGGGGGAAAAATATCTGGGAAACAGGGGGCAAAAGAATGTTTTTGGAATGGTGGGAAACCTGCCAAACCCGGAATAGCGTTTTAATTTTAAGCAGCTTTATTATAAGCAGCGGGGAAAAGGGGGAGGCAAAGGGGGAGGTTTTGGGGTCAAAATATTTGGAGGGGCAGTTAAGTGGAGGGGGGGAAGTAGTAGGTTTGACGACATTGAACATTTTGTAGTCGACTTGCAGAAATTCACAAAGAATTTAATGCGGGGTTTGGTCAGAGGGAGGTTGGAAGAAGTGCTCTGGGGTGACAAACCTTCAGGTTGTGTCTTGCGCAAGTTCGGGGTAAGACAACAGGCGACGTCCCTCTTGAAATTTGGGAAAAGTATGAAACGGGTTTGGGGGGGTTACCTCCCGGGTCAAGTACTCCTCCCCACGGACAGAAAGGGGTTTTTATGCTGATCTTTTGGTTTGTGGAAAAGCTATGGGGGGGAAAAAAAGGGGGGGCCAGGCGGGGGGCCCTTGGGGGGTGGGGAAGGGGATTTCAGAAAAGTTATAAGTGACAGGGATAAAAATGGTACTAAAGGTAAATTTCGAGTGGGAGGGGAAGAGGGGCGATTTTTAGTATGAGTAAAAGGAAAAGGGGCACCGGTATAGATGGCATTTCGAATGATTTTTATAGGGCGCTTTGGGGGAAGAAATAAAGCATTTTTTGGTTGATGTATTAAATTGCAGGCTCCCCGGGGGGGGTTAAGGTTTTGCGCAAAGTAGGGGGGTAGTTGTTTTGGGTTTGAGGAAGGGTCCCCCCCTCCCCCCAAGCTGTTTTTTTGTTTGTACCCAAAACCCTTTTTTTTAATGAGCTTTGGATGGTGGTTTGAGGCGGGGAACGCTGAGCATTGACCATGGGGTTTGCGTGTGGTCAGGTACGAAAGATGATCCACTTTTTGTTAAAAGGGGAGGAGGATTTGCGGGAACGGGGGAGGGGTTGTTGATTTTTTTGGGGACAGAGTCTGGCGGGTGTGCGTCAATAAAGAAAAATCAAAAATTTTTGGAGGTGGGTACCTGGGGGGGGGGGGGGGGGGGGGGGGGGGGGGGTTGGGGAAAAAAAGGTAGGGGTGGTCAGTGGGGTGAAAACTTAGAATATGTGGTTTTCGTGTACATGGCAGTTTGGGGAGGGGGGGCCCGGGAAGGGGGAAAACCCAAAATTTGGGTGGTTAATAAGGTTTTTAGATCGATTTTCAGGGGCTAAGAGCGGGGGTTTGAATTTTTGGGGTTAAATTAAAATTTGTTTATAGAAAAAGTATGGGGTGGCTGAGGTGTACCCTTTAAGAGATGTGGATATTCAGGAATGGGAGGAAGGGTCTTACGGGATGTTTGGGGTATCGGGGGAGCTTCGTTAAGCCGGGGGGGTTTTTTATGGCCCATTTTTTTCGCCGTGGGGGGGTTTTGGTCTCCTGGTTTGGGGGCCACGGGGGAGGCCCTCCAAAGTTAAAAGCAGCGGTTTCAGGGCGGGCGGGTTTTGGGGGAAAGGGGATCCCGGGGGGGCCCGGGGAAAGACGACAAGCGTAAAAGGTGGGCGGCAGGGGAAAATTTAAAGGGGTGTGAGGACCTGCTACGTTTTTTTTTTTAAAGTTGAGAAATGCGCAAAAGGATTTGGGCGGGGGGAAGGAAACATATGTTTTTCGTAGGGGAAAATTTTACAGGGATTGTCTGTTTTTGCTGTATAATTGGGGGGGAAAAATGGGACGGATTTTTTTAAAAGGGAAGTTGGGACCAAGGGGTTTGTGAATTGGTTTTACAAAATTTGTCATGGGGGGGTTTAAACATCAAAATCCCGGTTTTTTAAAAAGGATGGGGGTTTGGTAAGGGAGGCGGATTGCTTTGTTGGGTTCCCCGAAGAAAAAGCTTTTTTATGCCCGTATACTTTTTTGATACCCCTTTGGGCAAATTTTTGTTTTGTGGTTGGGGTGGGTTTTCGGTTTTCTTAGTGGGGGGCCCATCTCAAAACCTTACAGGCCCTTTAAAATTTGACGTTAGCGGGGGTATCAAGTGAATGCGAAGGGGGCAAAATGTAAAGTGGTGGGGTGATTTCTTTTTATATTGGGGGGAAAGCGGGAAACCGGGGGGGGTCATTTGGGAAAAGGGCAATTGCGGCAGGTACTACAAAACGAAATTTCAGGGAAAAAAACTCATATATGGGGGACGTTGGGGTAATTTTCCTGCAAAAATTTTGAAGTTTTCGTTCAAAAAAGGGTTTCTGCAACTGGGGGTGGGGGAAGGCAATGGGGGGGTGGAACCCCCCCCCCCCCCTGTTTTGCACCAAACGATGGGTTTGGGACTTCAAGGGGGGAGGGGGCCCGGGGTTTTGGGGGGTGCGTGGATGTAATTTTGAATGGTTCCGTGCGTCTGTGCGTGTATGGTTTGTTTGGGGTTTTTGTGGAAAAAAGAGATCTTGGGGTTAATTTCCCAATATGGTCGTGCATCTTTATAAAAAAAAAAAAGCAATATTTCCCGTTTTATTTTTTCCGCCTCTGCAAGGCCTTTAACAGGGTTCCCGACTATGACCGGGGGTTGGTGAAGTATGTTGGGTCTTTTCCCGGGGGTTCCCCCTTAGGTTTTGTTTGTCATTTTTTTTTTGCGGGGAAACCTCGGGTGATATTTACCCCCAAAAATACCCGTTTTACTGCCCTTTTTAAAGGGGGGGTGTTCATTTAAAAAGACCCCTTTTGGGGATGGTTGGGAAACTTTTGATGAAGGGCAAAAAGTTCTTGGCCTAAAATTTTTTCGAATATGTAGTAGAGGTCACCTATGAGAGGGAGGGGGGGGTTGAGAAGTATATGGCCAAATTTTAAAACCCTTTTGGGGATTCAAAAATCCTTGGGCAGCAGGGTTTTTTTGGGATATGTTTTGACACCCCGGAATTTTCACAATGTATTTTTTTATCATTTATTGGGGCATATAGTCCCTTGAAAGTTCAATTAAGCACCTTTACTAATTCACTGTAAAAAGTAAGGTTTTTTTTTTGGTTTGGGGGGGGTTATAATTTTGTCTGAGGAACCCCCCCCCCTAAAAAAAAAAATGGGGTTGGGGCGGGGTAAATTTGGGGTCTCGTGTTTCCTCATAAAGAATCAACTTTTCAAAATCGTAAAATTTTATGTTTTATTATTAAAAAGGGTTTTGCAAGTTTTGATTCCTTTTTTAATACATGCAAAACCAAAAATAAAGGGAAAACCGGTTTCAATTTCAAGAGTCATTGGGGGGTTTCTGAATTTTTTTTTATATAACCATGTACTAGTGGAAAAAGTAATGTATTATTTATATGATAATGTTTTGTATATAAAATTTTTATATATCCATAGCACCATGAATGCGCAATGCATTAGTTTATGTGACATTCTTTTGTATATAAAATTTCATACACAAATATGAATAAGACTGTCAGGTTTGGTTATATATATTTATTGGTTTTAAGGTATGTTCCGGTAGTTCTCTGTTTAGTTATATTGTTGTCTTACATAAAGTTTTCACGGTTCTTGTTTTTAAAATCAAATTTTGTATACCACACAGTATACTGGTTTTAATCAATTATGTATAACATACATGTATACTGTGTTTTTTAAATAAAAATATAAAAAAAATAGCAAGTTTTACTTATTCGGCACGACATCATACTATTTTTATTCATAATATATATATATATATATATATATATATATATATATATATATATATATATATATATATATATATATATATATATATGCAATAAGATCACAGTAAACAGGTGACATCACAATTTTGCAGAACAACCACTGTGAAAAAACTAGTGAAATTCGAAGCGCATTCATGACTTCTCACATTATCAACGAACTATAATAATGTGAAAAGTCACGAATGCGATTGGAATTTCACTGCTTTCACAGTGGTTGTTCTGCATAAATATATTTGAGAGAGAGACAAAGAGAAAGATCGCAGTCAGGACTCGATCTGCTACTGAGACGAGCAAAATTCCCAGGGAGTGCTGGTGCATTGACGTAAAAATCGCTTCTGAGGTCAGAACATAGAGGAGATTGAAATAGCTTGAATCCATGTTTGAGGCTGACTGATGTGCCCGGGCTGGGAAAGAAATATGGCTTGTGAACCAGGCTGCCCAGCTTATATGGCATTTGTAACTTGAGTGGGTAAGAGCACTGCCTGGGAATCTTGTCCGTCTCAGTAGCAGTTTCGAGTCCTGCTGACTGAGATCTTTCTTTGTATATACCTGCTTGTTTCTGCGTGGTGCCTTGATGTATAATTGAACCAATATAAATTACGGTAAACGTATATAGTTTCATTTTTATTATAGGTTCTTGAAAGTATTGTTGTCCTATGATCTTGTTCTCCGTCAGACGTGCCGGACCCTCCACGAGACTTAAGAGTGACGCGAGAATCGAGCAGATCAGCCACAGTGACCTGGGCAGCCCCACTCTCCCCTAACACCCCCATCACACACTATATCATCTACCTCAAAGCACAAGCTGGTAAGTAATGCAATGTTTCGCTCTCTAAACTTGCAATGTTTTTCCTTCACTAATGTCAGCAGTAAGTTGGGGAAAGCCAGTCAGGTTGAGAATGCATTTTTTCCTTGAGCCAGACCACAAAATGTTCACTATTGGTACCAAATGAGGTGACAAAAGCTCATAGTGATATTCTATTAGCTCTATATTACCGGTTGGTGAGGATTTTATGACCAGTCCTGTTGCTTGATGTATTCTGGCAGCTGAATGATCCGAGAAACATATCCTCGTATTCCACAAGCTCAGTCTTCTCTACCTCAAAGTAAGAAAAAGGAATAGTGGAAGGAAGAGATAAAATCTAATGCAACAATATATAATATATATATATATATATATATATATAATATATATATATATATATATAAATATATATATATATATATATATATATAATATATGCAAAACAAGCCACGGGGGTGAAAATCTTTAGCTCAAGTACTTTCACACTTCTCAGTGCATCACCAGGAGTTATGTAATGTTGCAAGGCAGCAACTAAAGGATTGAGGGGAAGTTTTTTCAGTGGATAATATACATATGGATTTCTATTATTCTCTGTTACCCGTTAATTGATAGAAGAAAAGAAATGAATGTACTCTTTGTTCGTCTACCAGTCTTCTCAGTATAGATTAATACATGTATGCCTTATTTGGGTATCTTCTATGCCTTTCCGATAACATTCCTATGATTCTAATTTTCCTTTTCGAATATCCTTTAACCCCACTATCTATGCTATCATTTACGTTGTGTACCTGTCCACGTATGGTACAGTGACAGCTAAACGGGTTATATAGTATGCTACCATTCACGACAGTCATAGCTCATATGAGTCTGGTGTGTAGACACTGGTTGAGCGTCACCGAGAAACTATCTGGCGTAATGAGCAATCCTGTGATTTTGTGTAGCATTTAGGGTTGTGTATAATAGGGGGTTGAGAATGTTCCCAGGGGTACTCAGAAGTATCTCTTCATATATTCCTAAAATATTACCTACTTAAAATATTGTCTACTTAGTAGTCTATTGTACACAATCTTAACAATGCTACATAAAATCACAGGATTGCTCATTATGCCAGATGGCTTCATGATGGAATGGTGGTGCTTAATCAGTGTCTATGCACCAAACTCATGCTACGTATGTCGTGAATGATGACTGTTACTGTACCATACGTGGGCAGGTACACAAGATTAAGTGGTAGCATAGATTGTGGGGTTAAAGTTTATCTGAGCAGAAAATCTGGATCATACAAACATTATCGGAAAGGCATAGATGATTCCCAAATAAGGCATATTAATCGATACTGAGAAGACCGGTGGACAGTATTTTAGGAATATGTGAAGAGATATTTCTTAGCACCGCTGGGAATATTCTAAAACCACCTTGTCGATTCCTCTCAGTATTTTATATGTTGTTATCATGTCCCCCCTGTCCCTTCTATCATCCAGCGTAGTCAGGTCAATTTCCCTTAACCTCTCTTCGTAGGACATGCCCCTTGGCTCCGGGACTGGTCTCGTGGCAAACCTTTGCACTTTCTCTAATTTCCTGATGTGCTTGCCCGAGTGTGGGTTGCAAACTGGTGCTACATATTCCAGCAACACTGTGTGTGTGTGTGCGCGTACTCACCTAATTGTGGTTGTGTGTGTGTGTGTGTGTGTGTGTGTGTGTGTGTGTGTGTGTGTGTGTGTGTGTGGTGCATACTTGTACTTTCCTAATTGTGGTTGCAAGGGTCGAGACTCATCTCCAGGCCCCGCCTCTTCAGTGGTCGCTACTAGATCCGCTCTTCCTGCTCCATGAGCTTTATCATACCTCGTCTTAAAACTAAGTATGGTTCTTGCCTCCATTATATCACTTGCCAGACTATTCCACTACCTGACAACTCTGTGACTGAAGAAATTCTTCCTAACATCCCTTTGACTCATCCGAGTCTTCAACTTCCTTTGTTTCTGTGTCCCATCTCTGGAACATCCTGTCTCTGTTCACCTTATCAATTCCTCGCAGTATTTTATGTCGTTATCATGTCTCCCCTGATTCTCCTGTCCTCCAGTGTCGTCAGGCCGATTTCCCTTAACCTGTCTTTCTTGTGTGTGTGTGTGTGTGTGTGTGTGTGTGTGTGTCGTGCGTGCGTGCATATATATTCTTGTGTATGTGTATTCATGTGTATATGTGCATATATATGCAGGTACTCGCTTTACTCGCTGTTTTGTAAATGGAAAATATTCAACAGCTTTCATAACAGAGAACAAACACATACGAGTTGCTCCAAGAATCTTGTCCTTGTTACCAGACACCAGCATTGAAAATTTAAAGCTGATTGGATGAAGCGTTGTAAAGTTATGAGAGAAATGAGAACGATAAGTTGGAGGAAGGAAAAAAAAAGGAGAGTCAGCCACTAAAAGATCCCTCCTCAGGGATACCTAATTAACACGTAGGATCTACAACATGCCGAGTAATGTGTTAAGATAACATTACTTACATGACTCATCCTTGTAGATGAATGGTTCAGAGAACCGACACGTTGATAAATTAGACACATGTGCAACTGTGTCTGAACCATTCATCTACAATCCTGTCAGACACTGCAACTTCTTGGGATCTTAATACTTGGGAATTCTTTGCTTGCCTAACCCTTGGGCACGACCTACTTCCACATTGGACAAATGTGACACCACCTACAACTGCTGCACCTCTCCTGCCTACGGTTTATAAGCTCCTCCGCGCATATGCCGTAATCTATTCAAGATTGATGGACTGACCACAACTTATTGGTATGGGTGGCGCTTTACTCTCTGGCTTACTTTATATTGCTGGTTTAACTCTTGGTGAAGGTATATAAGGGTAAAGAAAAAAACTACCTTCCTATGTTTGCCTTTGTATTTAATTATCTGGGTTAATTCTTCTCTTGAGACATTAGTTATGGCCAGGCACAACAGACCCTGGATTGCTACCTGGGTTCTTGATATTCACTATTAATCTACAGTCCAAAAAAAAAGCAATCATAATTTCAGTAGCAAATGAAGCAGTTAGAATTGTGCCAGACACTCATAATAGTACTGTTCTGAAAGTTAAAAAGTTTTACACAAACATCTGTTGCGGATTTAGGTTTGGTTATATGCTTTTCGACAGCCTCACCCAACCAGCTCCTGGCACTGGCATTACACTGTGGAATAAGTTTCCCGTTTAACTTTTTTCTAACCATGCAGGCAAGGCCCTGGCTCTCGAACTAGTGGCTCATGAACAGATACCCAAATGCTGGCCTAGTAAAGAGGTCTTGACAGTGGTGGTACAGAGCATTCCGAATCGAGAGAATAATTTCTGCGATCTGATTTATCTAGCTCCTACCTCCATGGACCCAAATAATGACACGCTCAAGGAAACTGTTTTCAGTCTTCAGTTCATTGAAGTGCTGGAAAGAAATCAGAGAATCAGTGACAACATCTGTGCACTTCTGCAAAGCTTTCGAACATAGGCGTTTGGAACGGCCTCTCAGGTTAGAGGATCAATCACCGCAGCAAAGAAATAAAGGGCACTACATAGTTTTCTACCTTAAGTTTCAATAATGTCCCTGATATTCAAAATATGTTGATGCCTCCCAATGGCGTAGCTGACAGAAACTTTACAGCTGGTAACAGATGAGATTTCAAAGATGGGAAGATAACGCATGATCATAACATTAGAGTCGGAGGTCCTCACAAAAATGTTTGAATGACTGACCTCAGCATTTTGAATGTGCATGACGAGTCGTATGTCTCCTACGTCTTGGTACAATTTTCTGTATCATGGCTTTGTCTAAAGCGCTTGAATGTCTTCTCATCAGCATTGGAGATGTATTGATCACCTGAAGAGCACTTGGTCTCGATGATATCTTCTCAGAGGTATTGAAAGAGTTGTACTATATTTTTGTTGTCTTACAGGAACTTAGACCATTTTCCAGGTATTTTCACACTGGCCATCTTTAACGGATTCTTGTTTATAGGTGTCCTAAGCATTCCTTTTGAATATGCTTCTTGAAATACGTGTCTTTATTGATTTCGGAAGTTGAAACTCCATCTCGAGGAACCAGGGAGTGGATGAGTGCTCCACTACCTACCAGACACTCATACGACCCTCGATGATCCTCGATTTCTTTGATACATCACTTCAGTGATGTATCATTCTTTACTGTTATGGATGGAGGAATAGCTTCAGCCTCATGGAAGATGAATGAGGCACGATAACCTTCAAGTGTTTGTGGACGAAGACCAAGCTGAGGCCCTTGAAGAACTGAATTGTCTTTTGCTTTCCTTTTATTATTGCTTTATATTTAAAACAGCGGAAGAAGCTCTATGTGATGAGGTCTTCAAATACTTTTTCCTCTCTTAATAATAACATCTTTCTTCATAAAACTGTGGTGCTGCTCTATTCCTCGCTTCTCAAAATTCGTGAGTGAATTTTTGTTATTGCAATTTTTTTAGAGGCTCATAAGATCTCTGTTTTCCAAGAAATGATTTTTCCTGGCTTCGAAGATCTCAACAAAATTTTAGACATCCGTGAGGAAGTTAGCCTGTAGATTTTTTTTCTTTTAGTAAGGTGAAAGAAATCTGATTTCTGGTCTGTCATCTCACCAGTAGTCCTGGAGCAACTGGGTTACCAGTGGTTCACAAAAGGACCATTTAACAACTGATGCTGAATCTTGTGTTATACCTGTCACTCCTCCAGAACTTTTCAATATTTTGTTCATTTGCTCATGGCTTTGGACTATTGCAACCCCTGAACATAGCTTCTTTGATAATTTCACAGCCAAGTTCCCTTCCTTAAAGGCCTTTAAATTTCGTTCTGGTAATTCTTTAAGATCTTGTATATAAACAGAAACCCAGCGGACATACTGTGATAGGAGGAGAAAAACAGTGGAAGGAACTGCATAATATCCCAATATGAAGAAAAGTTGGCTTCCGTTTATGATCGAACGATTGTCTGGTACTTCATGTGAAAAGTCCAAAAATGAAAGCTGGAGCAGCTACCATGGAAACAGGCTATTTTATCAACGACAATATCTAAGAAATCGCGGAGGGGTCAATTCTAGGTGTTCTCTTTGTTGCAGAACAAGCATAACTTCGGAACTGCAGCTCCCGGGATTCCAGCAGATCATCGAGTTTTTGTGGTTGAGGTTTCATGGCCTCGTCTCGAAGGCAGACAATGTTGCAACTGTCTTTTCTAAAATTCGGCCTGCAATTGTTGTACCATCTGGCTTCTTGCTTGGTGAGAACTTCAAAAGAGCATAAATCAGCTGTCAGGATTTCTAAAACAAATCCCCAGCAGATCGGCATAATTGTAAGTCGATGAAAAAGGATTCATAAGCCTTGATGTCCTCCTTATTTTAACTGAGAGATGACCATTTAAAGTCACTTATATTATCCCTATGCAGCAGACATCGAGACCAATTCATTATGATAAGACTTCATAAAGAACTTGTGAAAGAGATAAAGAATCGCACTAAACTGAAGTTATTGTTGTACAATACTATTCACACACAGCTTACAGTATTTGTATCAGTATGAGAAATATGAACCAACATAACATAACTGTTATAATCTTTACCTATTCTAACCTAATACACCCTAGCATTACTTAATCAAACCACACTAAATCTAGTCATACCAAACCGAAGTTAACCTGACATTGGTAATGTAGTGGGAGTGAATGCACAGAGTAAACCTGAGTTGTGATTAAGACGTCGTGTTAAAGCCCGGCCGAGGTGCTCAGAAAGGAACACATTATTTATTCTTACACAACTGTGTATTAGCTTACGATGATTATTCTGATCTCATTTGAAAACTAATAAAATTCTGAAAAATATTTTTTTAAAGCATTTTTTCAATATTGATGCTTGTATGCCGCAGCTGGGATGGATTCCTTATGTCTTAAAAATCTAAAAAGACGAGTCATTCTTATCTTCAAGCCCCGTTTCATCCTTTCCTTCCTGCCTTCCTTGCTTCCTTCTTTCCTTCTTCCTTCCTTCTTTCCCCTCCTTCTCAAGAGAACTTCCAGTTTAAATTAAATTTATACTCTAAATTTAATTCGACTTTCATCGACATATTTGTTCTACATCTAGAAGAATACCCGAGACCATTTGTGATATCGTTTGATTAAACTAACAATAATAAATAGCATTTGCGTTTGATTTCCAAAATATTACGAAAAAGATTTTTTATTATCATTTTCTCTTTGAATAGTTTCTTTTACACATATCGAAACCTACATCTGACAATCAAATATATCTACGCAGCCATTCCCAAGAAACTTGCCAAGTAGCAGCACGTCACAACCTACATTCTCAAATAACACGAAGTCATAGTAACTGGGTGCAAGCTCCACGTAATAAATATTACATCCTTCACGATCTAAGAATCATGATGAAATTATAATTAAGGTCATTTTCTCCTAAGATTATATACCCTAGTTATAAATATCCATTCAAAAAACCTGCTAATTTTCCACAATCCCCAAATCTGACATCAGTGTAGTTGAACTAGATTACTCCTATTGAGAGGTGCTTCCAACCTGCCCTGGCTTTATCTACAGTCCTTGTACGTCACTGATTTACGATAGTCCATGAGTCTGTTGAATTCTCTAGAGTTTCCTGACCAACTTCGTCAGCTGAAGCAGTTCCCTCCATTTCCTCCTGTGGATCACTCAAGTAATCTGTTTCTCCCATGCAGCCTTCATAATGACTATTGGACCATTATTTCCTTCGTCCGTCCGGACGGACTTTTAACAATTTTCCCAAAGGTCATTGGATACGATTATTTTCCGTATATTTCAGCACAATGTCACCGGACTTTATTAGAGTTCAGTTAAGTGGATCGACTTCATCATAGAAATACTCGCTTAAAGAAGTGAGATATTCTCTATGCCACACTTTATTTCTATTTTCCATTACTTTGTGTAATAATTTAAGCTTATTTCTTGAACCATCACCGTTATTATATTCTTTATCATCATCCAATGCATCTAGGTGATCGGACGAGTGTTAATTTTGTTTTCCCCTTATCCCAACATCGGTCTAAACTTCTCCAAACTCACCCTTTACCTATGAAGAATTTTACATAAACATTGCTTCAGTGTCCCTTATCATTCTTTCATAAAAGCCGACCTTGAGAGGTCGCGCTGAAGGCGATAAATTTCCAGTTGAAATTCTTTTTTGGCCAAACAAGGCGCTCACTTTGGGGTGTTTTAGTTGTGTGATGTATTAGGCTCCGGTAACAATATTCGTGTCATTGTCTGACATCATTAGTCGTAGCTACAATCTACTGGCGGGAATCTTCTAAATATCTTGATAAAATACTTAACAGACAGGTGCCGAGTTACTTCCACTTTAAAAGGGACATTGTTAGGAGTACTAGTTAATATTGAAGATTTTTAAATTTGTATGCACAAACCCATGTACACGTGAGTACCTACCTATACTGTGAATGCGCGCCCTCATGTGTACATTTCCGCATGTACGCATCTACGCATCTACATACAAATGCACGTACGTATGCATGTACACACGTATATGTGTATGTACATACATATGCACGAACTCATACATGTACGAAATAGCTCGTTTTTACGAAACGTCCTCAGCAACACGTCCTCAACAACACATCTTTAGCAACACTTCCTCAGCAACACTTCTTCAGCAAACCATCCTCAGCAACACATCCACAGCAACACTTCCTCAGCAACCCGTCCTCAGCAACACATTTCCTCGGCAACCCGTCCTCAGCAGCACTTCCTCAACAACCCATCCTCAGCAACACGTCCTCAGTAACACATCCTCAGCAACACTTCCTCAGCAACCCGTCCTCAGCAACACATCCTCAGCAACCCGTCCTCAGCAGCACTTCCTCAACAACCCATCCTCAGCAACACGTCCTCAGCAACACATCCTCAGCAACACATCCTCAGCAACACATCCTCAGCAACCCGTCCTCAGCAACACTTCCTCAGCAACCCGTCCTCAGCAACACGTCCCCAGTAAAACATCCTCAGCAACACATCCTCACCAACACATCCTCAGCTACGCTCCTCCCTTGAGATAAGAGGATCTTAGAACAAGCTCGTCATACTGTCCAGTACAGTTTAAGAGGCACGTAACTTCTCCCGACTTCTAATAACAGTTGTGTTTTGGAGGTCTGAGAACAGCTCACACTCTCTACAACACAATTGTCTTCAAATATTTGTTAAGTTATACCAAGAATTAGGAAGATCCTAGACTTTCCCTTACGAAACAGCACAAACCAAATGCGATAATAATTATGGACAAGGTTATATTATAGTGGAAAAATGAACATGTTATTAGAAGACTTACGGGCCCCTTAAGCTCCTGCTCTTAGTGTGTGTCCATCATAATATATCTGCTCGATGAAGTGGTCAACAAAAACTTACCATCCGCGAGATATTTAAGTATCCGCTGCCAAATAATTATCATTTTTATACGGGGAATCGTTGTAAATGATGTGCCAAAAACTGGGAAGTAACAGACTTGTTCCGAGGAAGGGGAAGGTAACATTAATTCCTTGGATAAAGTGCCCTTCATCAGGACGCCTCTCTTGAGGTGAGATAAGTGTCAGGTGCTAAGATGATGATGTGCTCCACAGCATCCTGGGACGGCGTCAGTGTCCGACAACTGCGTGCTGAAGGCAGCACCACCTCTGCTCTGCTCAATGACCTCCTCCCAGCCAAGGTCTATCAGGTGAGTGATTGCTTATTGTCAGGACAGGTCGATGATCTATTGCACCAAGGCTAAATTTCCAAAAGTGCACTACAACATCTACAGAAAAATACACTAAAAATTGAGACGTATACTTTCATGTCCTTAGGTTAGGCAAGATCTGTCAGGAAACAGGAAAATCCTTTCATGGTGCAGGTCTTAGTCATATAGTGACCCACCGAAGCCTTCCGCTGGCTTACCGTCCACCCCTTTAAAAATTAGGGTTATAATTATAATCATTTTTATTATTTTTGTCTTTAATATTAAAACATTGTGTATATAAGAAACTTAAACTATGACTCCATCTGATGTTCGTTTGGTTACCTGCAGTAAATTAATATATACTGCTAAGTATAAATAGATAAGTATTAGCTATGTGTTGGCAAATATTTTCTGATCGTGTTTATAATATACAGTAAAATGATATCCCGTGAACTTTAAACTTTTTAACTGTCTCCAACATGCTAATACGTAAGCATGTTGGCAAAAAAATGCAGTATCAAATCTGCAAAATAACTACGTACTACTATAAGCTCTCGTTGCTATTCAAACAAAATCAGTGAAATCCTTGCAGTCAACAAATATAGCAACAAGAAGCTTGCCCAGACTAGGCTGGACTTTCTAACATCATCTCAGGCACAATTTCCAGATGTAATTCGACGACATCAGCACCAAATAAGCAGACGCAGTTGTCCAGCAAGCAGATATGTTTGAACAACAGTAACCTGCTGACTTAGTTGTCATAAAGAACTGATTATCCTACAGAAAACTAGATGAAAGTTGTGTTAATCGTGTTCGATGCTTCTAAAATGAACTAAATCACATGAGCCCTAAACACAAAAACATACAGAATAAACAAATCAGAAGACTAACGTGACGCCAACTAGCGAGAACTGATCAGCTGCTTCACCTAGACCCCGATTCCTGATTTTTTTTCAGGTATCCTAGACACACTCGTGGCATTGAACCGTTTGGTGCCTCACTTTATGCCGCATAGTCAGTGTCGTACCTCTGCTTAAGACACTATGTCGTACCTCTGCATACGACACTGCGTCGTGCCTCTGTGTACGACACATGCACAATGCACTTATGTAAACGAAGGTTTAGCAAATTAACTGTCTGACCAACAATTTACCCGGCATCAAGATCACATACAAAACCCAAGTAAAATAACTGATTAATTCAGAATAGCAAAAAAAAAAAAAAAAAAAAAAAAAAAAAAATTAATACTAGATGAAAAAGACCCCAAGACAATTTTTTTACATTTCCTGAAATTCCTCCCAGTTAATTATCCTCATCGTCATCTTAAGTTTCCACTGGTAAACATAAAATATGTTCCAAAAGTATAATTTGTATTTCTTGCCTCTATATTCTATAAGAATCAAAGCTCAACTTATTTGCTCACACCATATGAATTAAAATTAATATATATAATATATATATATATATATATATATATATATATATAATATAATATATATATTATATATATATATATAATTATGCAAAACAACCACTGTGAAAGAGTAGTGAAATTCCAAGCGCTTTCGTGACTGCTCACATTGTCAAGGAACTATGAAAGTAATATATCAAAGGAAGGCAATTAAAGGGCTGAGACCACACCTCACAGTCAACTCCCACAACAAAGAAACACCTGACGCGGGACAATACCGGACTCGTAAGAAAAGAAGAACACTGCAGTGGGTCCGCTGGTCCAACTAGACAGGTCCTGGAAGGTCCTCACGACAACCCACTAACAAATTATTCTACCCAAGAAATAAGGTTTATTATTTGTCCAATGTATTATTAAACTCTAACCAAATTTTATTAATTATAAATGAATCTAATTTATACAAACCTAAGGAAATATTCATATTTTCAAAACTGCTTTTTATGAAACAAGATTCAATTATATTTCTGTCAACCATGGACTTGCTTGATACTACTTTCTCAACTTTTTGAAAATCTATAAGATTCCTTGTAAAATTTGCGATAAAGTTTATTACGATCAAACTGGTAAAAGTCTCGAACTAAGATTAAAACTACATAAATATAGCATTAGAACTGGACAAGATTCTAATGCTTCATTTATTCTTGTGAGAGATTTTAACCATCCAATTGATTTTCAAAAAGTTGAGAAAGTAGTATCAAGCAAGTCCATGGTTGACAGAAATATAATTGAATCTTGTTTCATAAAAAGCAGTTTTGAAAATAATATGAATATTTCCTTAGGTTTGTATAAATTAGATTCATTTATAATTAATAAAATTTGGTTAGAGTTTAATAATACATTGGACAAATAATAAACCTTATTTCTTGGGTAGAATAATTTGTTAGTGGGTTGTCGTGAGGACCTGTCTAGTTGAACTAGCGGACCCACTGCAGTGTTCCTCTTTTCTTATGAGTCCGGTATTGTCCCGTGTCAGGTGTTTCTTTGTTGTGGGAGTTGACTGTGAGGTGTGGTCTCAGCCCTTTAATTGCCTTCCGTTGATGTATTACTTTCATAGTTCCTTGACAATGTGAGCAGTCACGAAAGCGCTTGGAATTTCACTACTCTTTCACAGTGGTTGTTTTGCATATTTTAAAATCACCTGTTTACTGTGATCTTTTTGCATATATATATATATATATATATATATATATATATATATATATATATATATATATATATATATATATATATATATATATATATTTCAAAAATTCACTTCCCTTCATTTAGTTTATTATCAAGTTCCTCCCATTTCTATTATACATTTTACTCTTTTAGGCAAATATATTTGTTAGTGAAATATTCCCACATTTTCATGTAACCAATACTGTTGTCATGTTTTTTTTCTTTATTAATACATTTCTATAGGGTTCAGTACTAAATACTCAGTTTCGTGTATTTTGTCTCACATTGCCCTGTGTCCTGTATGTTTAATTGTATGTATTGTTATCCTGTTCCTCACACTCTTACCCAGTTATAATTTATTGCTTAGTTAATACTGCCTTATTATTAGTCTTTATATAATTCTACCTCATTATTAGTCCCTCATAGCTATTACGTTTTTACCACTGTTGCTTTTTGTATGCCAGGTGTACAGTGACTTCTCACTCCTCACCCTCACTCCTCACCCTCACTCCTCACCCTCACTCCTCACCCTCACAACTTTCTCAGCAAGTCCATGGTCTACAGGAATATAATAGAATCATGCTTCATAAAAAGAAGTTTTGAAAATAATGTGAACATTTCTTTTGGTTTATATAAATTGGATTCATTTATAATAAAATTTGGGAAAAATTTAATGATACATTAGACAAATAAAAAATCTTAATGCTCCGGTAGTGTATCAAGTGGGTTTCACATTCGGGTGTTGTGACGCGACTGTGAGGTGTAGTCTTGACCCATTATATGCCTTCCTGTTGTTTCGCTTTTAATGTTCCTTGATAATGTGAGAAGTCACGAGAGCGCTTGGAATTTCGCTATTCTTTCACAGTGGTTATTTTGCATATTGTGATATCACCTGTTTACTGAGATCTTATTGCACATGCATGCACACACACACACACACACACACACACACACACACACACACACACACACACACACACACTCGTGGAGGAGTCACGCGGTTTGAGCTCGTGTTTTGGTGGTAATTTCTGACTGTGCCATAAGGAATAGAGTGTGGGAAATAGGCGTGTGCACGCATAAGAGTGTATATAATCATTTAAGCCCCGAGAAAAGGAAATATAAGTGATCACAGAAAAGAAAACAAAGGAAATAGTGACTAAGTGTTTAGTGGGGGCCAGGGGAAGGAAGGTGAAAAGTTGTGTCAGGCCTAAATAGTGTTGCCATAATAATGCAGTGGGGTATTTTGAAGAATAAGTGCGACTCAAGACCAGGGAGATAAGAGATATGTATAGATGTGTCAGTAAACACAGTGAGTGAGAAAATTAGATGAGCTAGAGACTATAGTGCATACAGGAAGTTAGTGGAAAAATTACCGAGAAGCATCAAGCATCTTCAACTACTGGGACACAGGACAGACCCGCAACGTTACTCCACTGCCAGCCGCAAGTAATATTCACCTAGTTTGAGTTGCATGGGGTCAATAGTACCTGTCTCTAGCTGGAATTGGGGGTCACTCTCCTCGAGCTATCAGAATTAGAATAAGCAGCATTTACTGGCATTTAATAGAATTTAGAGGTAGCGGCATACAGGCGAAGCCTAGTGTATTTATTTTTGAACGTACTTTTAAACACATAAGACAGTACAGTGGGAACCAAGAGATCGGGTACATGTGCAATACATATGTAGTACATACGTGGGAAATAAGGACTGCTTACATAAACATATGCACACACACACACACTAGGTGAGAACAGGCTCTGCTGTTAGACACTTGAATAGCTGTAGCATGCACACACACACACACACAGCACACACACACACACACATGCACACACACACTAGGTGAGTACAGGATCTGCTGCTAGGCACTTGAATAGCTGTAGCACACACACACACACACACACACACACACACTAGGTGAGTACAGGATCTGCTGTTAGGCACTTGAATAGCTGTAGCATGCAACACACACACACACATACACACACGCACACACCACACTAGGTGAGTACAGGATCTCTGTTAGGCACTTGAATAGCTGTAGCATGCACACACACATACACACACACACATATCACACATCACACACACACACACCACACACAACACACACACACACACACATATGCACACACACACACACACACACACACACACACACACACACAACTATAATCAGGATTTCACACCTTCCTGTGAAGTGACCCTCTAACCCTTCCTTCCCCCCCGCTCTCTCTCCCTCTCCTCCTCTCTCTTCCTCTCTCTCTCTCTCTCTCTCTCTCTCTCTCTCTCTCTCTCTCTCTCCTTTCTCTCTCCTCTCTTCCTCTCCCTTCCCTTTCTCTCTCCTCTTCCTCTCTCTTCCTTTTCATCTCTCTTCCTCTCACTCTTTCTCTCTTCCTCTCTCTTCTCTCTCTCTTCCTCTCTCCTCTCTCTCTCTTCCTCTCTTACTCTCTCTCTTTCTCTCTTCTTTTCTCTCTCTCTCTTCCCTTGTCACTCCCCCTCTCTCTTACCTTTTCCCTCTCACTTTCTCTCTCCCCCCTTTTCCCTTCTTTCCCCCTCTCTCCTTCTACCCTCCCCTTCTCTCTCTTTCTCCCTCTCTCTCTCACTCTCTCCCCCCTTTTTCTTTTTCTCTTTCTTTCACAAAAAAAAATGGTTGGGACTCGCAGGAATCAGGGATCAGATGACAATGGTACTGGTAGGGAGGAATGGATGGAGGAACAGTGGAAAAGGATGGAGCAAGAATGGCAGAGAAAATTAGTAGAGCTTTCTGAAAAAATGGAGAAAGAGCTCTCTGTGAAATGGGAAAAGAGGTTGGAGAAGGAGACGTAGAATTGGGAGGCACAAGTCGAAACTGCAGTAGCTAGGGTAAAGGTCCTAGAATTTGAGGTAAACAGGCTGAAGCAAGTCTCAGGGGCAGTGACCAGAGAAGACACACCATAGAAGCTGAGAGGCTGAACAGGAAGGAAGGAGATATGAATTATGCTAAGGTCATATCAGCCTGTAAAGAAAGGCCAGGGAGTGGAAGGGAAGAGCAGATGGCTGCAGATGGAGAGGGAGATAGGTCGAATGCTGAGGCACAACCATGCTACCAAGAGCCACTGGAAAAATCAAGGGAGAAAATGACCACAGACAGGAACCTGAGTCACAGAGAGAGAGGCAATGGGAGGAGGAAAGGGCAAAATCAGTGTTTATCCATGGGCTTCGGGAGAGAGAGGAAAGGACACACACTGAAAGACGGCAGGAAGAAAGAAAGGAGATTAAGAAAATCATCATGGAAATAGGGGGAGAAGACATGGACGAGATTGTAAATTTTCAGAGAATAGGGGAAAACTTGAAGGGGAGAAACCGACCGATCAAGCTGATTCTCAGGACAGAAACAGTGCGGAACAGGATCCTCCAAGAGAAACCACGGTTGAAAAGCGCGGAAGAGTACAAGAAGGTGTTCCTAGACAGAGACAGAACACAGAGAGACGGCAGCTGAGGGAGAGGACAAAAAAGCGAAAGGAGCTAGGAAAGGAGACAAGGATGGAACCAGCAGAGGTCAGTCAGAGCAGAACAGAGCAGCAAGGGCAAGCACACACACAACTATCCTCAGAACCCCACAATCTATCACACCATCCCAACACACAATACAATCCATACCCACAGCTTCCACCCAACCCCCAACCATAGAATCCCACAGTATGCTACCAGGTCTCCCACCCCCACAGGCCCCCCAAACCACAGTGTTGGAAAGGAAACTGAAGGTATGGTACACAAATGCAGATGGAATAACAAACAAGTGGGAGGAGTGGCACAAAAGAGTCAAAGAGGCATCACCAGACATCATAGCTATCACAGAAACCAAGCTTACAGACCATACCCCCGGCCGGGATTGAACCCGCGGTCATAGTCTCAAAACTCCAGCCTGTCGCGTTAAATCCCGTCGCTTCAATCCCGGCCGGGGTATGGTTTATTTGCAATCGTGTCATTACGATTTCTTAAGCCAAGCTTACAGGTATGATAACAGATGCCATCTTTCCAACGGGATACCGGATCCTGAGGAAAGACAGAAGGAACAGGGGGGGTGGAGGAGTGGTATTGCTGATCAAACACCGATGGAATTTTGATGAGCTGGAGATACGAGACAGCGGAGAAGAAAGTGATTGCATAGCGGGAACGCTTCACTCTGGAGGTCCCAAGGCGATAATTGCAGTGATGTATAACCCACCACAGAACAGCAGGAGGCCAAGGCAAGAGTATGACGAGAGCAATAGAGCGATGGTTGACACACTGGCTGCAGTGGCCAGAAGAGCTCATGCATGCAGGGCAAAGCTCCTGATCATGGGCGACTTTAACCACAAGGAGACCGAATGGGAGAACTTGGAGCCACATGGGGGCCAAGATACATGGAGGGCTAAGATGATGGAGGTGGTACTAGAAAACTTCATGTACCAACATGTAAGGGACACTACAAGAGAGAGAGGAGAGGATGAACCAGCAAGACTGGACTTAGTATTCACCTTGAGTAGTGCAGATATTGAGGAAATCACATATGAAAGACCCCTTGGGGCCAGCGATCATGTGGTTTTGAGCTTCGAATACACAGTAGAGCTACAAGTGGAGGGGGAAACAGGAAAGCCAGGACAAATGAAACCAAACTACAGGAAAGGGGACTACACAGGAATGAGGAACTTCCTGAATGAGGTTCAGTGGGACAGAGAACTGGCAGGGAAGATAGTTAATGAGATGATGGAATATGTAGCAACAATGTGCAAGGAGGTTGAGGAGAGGTTTGTACCCAAGGGAAACAGGAATAATGAAAAAGCCAGGATGAGCCCATGGTTCACCCAAAGATGCAAGGAGGCAAAAACCAAGTGTGCCAGGGAATGGAAGAAATATAGAAGGCAAAGGACCCAGGAGAATAAGGAGAGCAGTCGTAGAGCCAGAAACGAATATGCACAGATAAGAAGGGAGGCCCATCGTCAATATGAAAACGACAGCAACAAAAGCCAAATCTGACCCGAAGCTGTTATACAGCCACATCAGGAAGAAAACAACTGTCAAGGACCAGGTAATCAGGCTAAGGAAGGAAGGAGGAGAGACAACAAGAAATGACAGTGAAGTATGTGAGGAACTCAACAAGAAATTCAAAGAAGTGTTCACAGAGGAGACAGAAGGGGCTCCAGAAAGACGGAGAAGTGGGGTTCACCACCATGTGCTGGACACAGTACACACAACCGAGGAAGAAGTGAAGAGGCTTCTGAGTGAGCTAGATACCTCAAAGGCAATGGGGCCAGATAACATCTCTCCATGGGTCCTGAGAGAGGGAGCAGAGGCGCTATGTGTACCCCTAACAACAATATTCAATACATCTATCGAAAGAGGGAGATTGTCTGAGGCATGGAAGACAGCAAATGTGGTCCCAATCTTTAAAAAAGGAGACAGACATGAAGCACTAAACTACAGACCAGTGTCACTGACATGTATAGCATGCAAAATCATGGAAAAGATTGTCAGGAGAAGAGTGGTGGAACATCTAGAAAGGAATGATCTCATCACCAGCAGCCAACATGGTTTCAGAGATGGGAAATCCTGTGTCACAAACCTTTTGGAGTTCTATGACATGGTGACAGCAGTAAGACAAGAGAGAGGGGTGGGTGGATTGCATTTTCTTGGACTGCAAGAAGGCGTTTGACACAGTACCACACAAGAGATTAGTGCAAAAACTGGAGGACCAAGCAGGGATAACAGGGAAGGCACTGCAATGGATCAGGGAATACTTGTCAGGAAGACAGCAGCTAGTAATGGTACGTGGCGAGGTGTCAGAGTGGGCACCTGTGACCAGCGGGGTCCCACAGGGGTCAGTCCTAGGACCAGTGCTGTTTCTGGTATTTGTGAACGACATGACGGAAGGAATAAACTCCGTGGTGTCCCTGTTTGCAGATGACGTGAAGTTGATGGGAAGAATTCATTCGATCGAAGACCAGGCAGAACTACAAAGGGATCTGGACAGGCTGCAGACCTGGTCCAGCAATTGGTTCCTGGAGTTCAATCCCACTAAGTGCAAAGTCATGAGGATTGGGGAAGGACAAAGAAGACCGCAGATGGAGTACAGTCTAGGGGGCCAGAGACTACAAACATCACTCAAGGAAAAAGATCTTGGGGTGAGTATAACACCAGGCACATATCCTGAAACGCACATCAACCAAATAACTGCTGCAGCATATGGCCGCCTGGCAAACCTCAGAACAGCATTCCGACATCTTAATAAGGAATCGTTCAGGACCCTGTACACCGTGTACGTTAGGCCCATATTGGAGTATGCGGCACCAGTTTGGAACCCACACCTAGCCAAGCATGTAAAGAAACTAGAGAAAGTGCAAAGATTTGCAACAAGACCAGTCCCAGAGTTTAGAGGTATGTCCTATGAGGAGAGGTTAAAGGAAATCAACCTGACGACACTGGAGGACAGGAGAGATAGGGGGGACATGATAACGACTTACAAAATACTGAGAGGAATTGACAAGGTGGACAAAGACAGGATGTTCCAGAGACTGGACACAGCAACACGGGGACACAGTTGGAAGCTGAAGACACAGATGAATCACAGGGATGTTAGGAAGTATTTCTTCAGTCACAGAGTAGTCAGGAAATGGAATAGTTTGGGAAGCGATGTAGTGGAGGCAGGATCCATACATAGCTTTAAGCAGAGGTACGATAAAGCTCATGGTTCAGGGAGAGTGACCTAGTAGCGACCAGTGAAGAGGCGGGGCCAGGAGCTTGGACTCGACCCCTGCAACCTCAACTAGGTGAGTATACACACACACACACACACACACACACACACACACACACACACACACACACACACACACACACACACACACACACACACACACACACACACACACACACACACAAAACCACTGTGGGAGTCGAATGATAGCTCTAGGCCTTTCGTTTTGCAGTCAACACATCAGGAGCTTGCACTCTTACGGAAAAGATGAGGTCCAAGCAAAGTCTTATTTGCTTAGACCTGTTTTCTGCAACATTGCAATTTCCTGATGTGTTGATTGCAACACGAAAGGCCTAAAGCTATCATTCAGTTCACCCCGTGGCTATTTTGCATCTTGTATCGCTTGTTCGTGATTTATGCATTATAGATATATATTGTGTTAAAGAGCACTTGGTTGTTGATGGCAGGTACGAGTGGTAGCGGTCAACAGCGTGGGAGAATCCCCATCATCTGAACCTTTGACTCTGCGTACAGAGGGCGAGGCTCCCAGTGCTACACCGATCAACGTGCGGGCTATGGGTGTGAGCTCTCATGCAGTGCAGGTCTCCTGGACACCACCTGACGCAGACTCCTGGAATGGTCAGCTGTTAGGATACTACGTAGGGCACCGGCTTGATGGGTGTGTACGAAGGAGAGATGTTATCGCCCTTTGCTTGGAATATTGGAATCTAACTTTTTAAGTATAGTAGACCATTTTGCCTATATTGTGATGTTGAGGGAGAATGTGCCTTCCCAGGCCGGCACGCCAGGCTTAAGGTCGATGAGTAAGACATATGTAACAGTTAGGTATCTTTATTCCGAAACGTTTCGCCTACACAGGCTTCTTCGGTTGAAGGCAGAAGAGTTTAGAGAATTAATAGAGATGTGAAGACTATGTAATCAGTACATCACCGCTGAAGACGTAATTTTGAGGTGGTCAGTCCCTTATCCTGGAAAAGTTATGCTCTACAGTCTGGAATTGATGTGTTCAGTCCATCACTCTTGTGATGGACTGAACACCGATTCTAGGCTGAGGGACTGATTACCTCAAACTACTCCTGTCTTTAGCCCTCTCTGCTTTGTATTGGACTGATGAAGCCACTGTGTAGCGAAACGTTTTCTTAATAAAACTTCCCATATGTTGCATGTCTCAATCATCAGCTTAACGGTTCTGAAAACCAATATATACTGGTATGTTTAACTCGACTGGCTCCTCACTTATTTTTATTACCAAATATGTTTTTAAATAGATCATTTATGGTGTTAGTTCACTAGTATAGGTCACTTTATTTCATAATTATCAGAACTAAAGGATGTCTCAGAGTTTCATGATTGTCTTAATCCTGAGGAATCTTAACCAGTCCAGTGTTCAAGTGTACATTTCCAAGTACCGTCATGTACTTTTCTGTGTTCTTCATTAGGACTCTTTAATCTGTACGTGGTACCCATTGACTGAAAGTGAACCAATCCCGTCTGGTTACTAAAGGTAAAGAAAATCACTATTTAGTTGCTAGGGTGAAGCAAATCACTATCTGGTTGCAGGGGTGAAGCAAATCACTATCTGGTTGCTGGGGTGAAGCAAATCACTATCTGGTTGCTGGGGTGAAGCAAATCACTATCTGGTTGCTGGGGTGAAGCAAATCACTATCTGGTTGATGGGGTGAAGAAAATCACTATCTGGTTGATGGGGTGAAGCAAATCACTATCTGGTTGATGGGGTGAAGCAAATCACTATCTGGTTGCTGGGGTGAAGCAAATCACTATCTGGTTGCTGGGGTGAAGCAAATCACTATCTGGTTGCTGGGGTGAAGCAAATCACTATCTGGTTGTTGGGGTGAAGCAAATCACTATCTGGTTGCTGGGGTGAAGCAAATCACTATCTGGTTGCTATATTAGACACATGTGCAACTCTTGGGTATGTTTATTGAGGAAACGTTTCGCCACGTAGTGGCTTCATCAGTCCATACTAAGGAGAATCGTGAAGAAAAGGAGGAGAATGAGGTAATCAGTCCCTCAACCTTGAGTCGATGTGGTCAGTCCATCAATCTTGAATAGAATACGGCATATATGCGGAGAAGCAGCTTATAAACCGTAGGCAGGAGAGGTGCAGCAGACGTAGGTGATGTCACATTTGTTCAATGTGGAAGTAGGTCGTGCCCAAGGGTTAGGCAAGCGAAGAATTCTCAAGTATTAAGATCCAAGAAGTTCACGATTCTCCTTAGTATGGACTGATGAAGCCAATGCGTGGCGAAACGTTTCCTCAATAAAGATACCCAAGAGTTGCACATGTCTGACGTGTCGGTTCTCTGAACTATTCATCTGCAATCCTGTCAGACACTGCAACTTCTTGGGATCTTAATACTTGGGAATTCTTCGCTTGCCTAACCCTTGGGCACGACCTACTTCCACATTGAACAAATGTGACACCACCTACGTCTGCTGCACCTCTCCTGCCTACGGTTTATAAGCTGCTTCTCCGCATATATGTGAATGAGAATGTAAATTGGTGGGTGAGTTAGAGAAGACAAAATGTTGTGTGATCTTAGTAAAAGTATAGATAGTTTTAGTGATCTTGACGTAAGCGATCTTAGTTTTTAGTGATCTTGACGTAAGCGATCTTAGTTTTTAGTGATCTTGACGTAAGCGATCTTAGTTTTTAGTGATCTTGACGTAAGCGATCTTAGTTTTTAGTGATCTTGGTTATGATGTTTTAAGAGAATGTGTACAAAATGTGTGATGTTTTAGTAATCTTAGTGGTGGGGTTATAGAATTTGGTAACCGTTTTGATTGTGGTGATCTTAGATATTGGAGATATAACAGGTTGAAGCAAGGTGTTTGGGAATGACGTCACTGATCACCAAGTAAACACAGGTTGGAGTGACGTCATGGGAGGTGTCACTATCTGTGCCGTCATGTGTTGGTGGTAGTGAGGTGAGTGTATTAGATATTGGCAAATATTGTAAGGAGTTGGTGATTGTGATTTTGTGTGAATGTTTATAAAAATGAGTGTTTTCTGCGATCTTGGTGGTTTTGAGGTGAGTGATCATGGATGTTAGTTGATGGATGTCTTAGTTTTTTTGTGTGTGCACATGATATGTTTTCAGTTGGTGGTGATCCTGTTGTAAGTTTTTCAGTGTTGTTTGGAAATGCTCAAAGGTGTTTGAGACTGTTCAAATTATTTGAGAATTTTTTTTTCGCTCATTTTATTTAATAGTCTGAGGTGAGTGGGATCGTCTTGGTTATAGTGATTTGAGGGGATTTCTATAAAATGGGTGATAGGCGGTGGTGTTTATCTTAGTTTCTGGGGATTTTTAGTGGTGTTTGGGCAGTATTCAGTGCTGTTTTGATAGTATTCAGAGGTGTTTTGGGAGTATTCAAAGGATTTTGATGTTTTTGAATGTGTTCAAATGATGTTTTTGGAGTATTCAAAGGTAATTTGATGGTGTTTTTGGTGTTGTTCAAAGTAAATTGTGGTGTGTGTGTGTGTGTTAGCTTTGGTAAATGCCTCATGACATAAGTGTATGAGTTAGTTTTTGTGATAATGTTGTAAAGTCTGGAGAGTTGTAATTTCGGTTAATGAAATGTGTAAGTGTAGATGAATTAGAGATTTCAAATGTTATTTGGGAGTATTCAAAATGATATTTTGGAAGTGTTCCAATGATGTCTTTGAAATGTTCTAATGTAATTTGGAAGTGTTTAAGTGTTGTCTGGAAATGTTCAAAGGTGTTTTTGTGAGTATTCAAATGATTTATGAGAGTGTTTTGATGGTGCTTAAAGTAATCTAGGGTTCTGTAGTGAGATGATAAAGGTTGTTGAGAGAATATTGAGAAAATGTGGTCTTCAAATGATGTATGAGAGTGTTTTGAAGGTGTTCAAAGTAAAGTGAGTTGTCTGTGTGTGTTAGGTGGTCATAGAATTTGGTGAATATCTTGGCTACAGTGATTTTAGTGGATTAGAGATGGGTAATGAGATGGATTTGTGGATGTGAAATGTGATTTTTTTGTGTGTTCTGAAGAGGTGTGTTGGGAGATGGGTGAGTGGATGTAAAGAAATGTGGGTGAGATGGAGAGGGGTATGGGGAGGGTTGTATTAGAAATTTAATGAAATATGGGGGATTTTACTGAAAATAAAGGTAATGTGTGAATATTTTAAAAGAAATTATAGAAGTGAAAAGTTATAATACATTGGAAAAGAAAGGAGGGCGAATCCTCAATACCAGGGACTTGAAGGTTGTAGAAACATGCCGCACTAGTTGGGTAGTGAGATGATTAGTTGTTGTGAGTATAATATTAATCTATGTGGATAAAAGCCTCTTCAAGCGGGGGCTCCTTGGCGTGGTGAAGAGGCTCTTGGTCTGAGGAATTAGACCTGTCGGTCTCCTTCCTCAGACCGAACCTAATTACCCGCCAATCCCCCCTTCCCTAACCCATCCTCCCCTTTTCCCTTTCCTCCTCCCCCTCCCCACCCCTCCCTTTTGCCCTTCCTCTTTTTGGCCTTTGGGATTTTTCCCACAGGTGCGCTAGTTCCTAGGTAGGGGAAAGGGTACCGGGGTCCATCCCATTCCGTTGAGGTTCTTGGTGGTGGCGTAGTTTGCCGTGGAATCTGGATCGCCTAGGGATGTCCCGATGTTACAGTGAAGGTCAGCTGGGGTGAGTGTTGTAGCGCCAGGGTACATGTTACAGTGAAGGTCAGCTGGGGTGAGTGTTGTAGCGCCAGAGTACATGTTACAGTGAAGGTCAGCTGGTGTGAGTGTTGTAGCGCCAGGTAGATGTTACAGTGAAGGTCAGCTGGTGTGAGTGTTGTAGCGCCAGGTAGATGTTACAGTGAAGGTCAGCTGTAGTAAGTGCTGTAGCGCCAGGTAGATGTTAGTGAAGGTCAGCTGGAGTGAGTGTTGTAGAGCCAGGTAGATGTTACAGTGAAGGTCAGCTGGAGTGAGTGTTGTAGCGCCAGGTAGATGTTACAGTGAAGGTCAGCTGGAGTGAGTGTTGTAGCGCCAGGTAGATGTTACAGTGAAGGTCAGCTGTAGTAAGTGCTGTAGCGCCAGGTAGATGTTAGTGAAGGTCAGCTGGAGTGAGTGTTGTAGAGCCAGGTAGATGTTACAGTGAAGGTCAGCTGGAGTGAGTGTTGTAGCGCCAGGTAGATGTTACAGTGAAGGTCAGCTGGTGTGAGTGTTGTAGCGCCAGGTAGATGTTACAGTGAAGGTCAGCTGGAGTGAGTGTTGTAGCGCCAGGTAGATGTCGCAGTGAAGGTCAGCTGGTGTGAGTGTTGTAGCGCCAGGTAGATGTCGCAGTGAAGGTCATCTGGAGGTAGTGTTGTAGCGCCAGGTAGATGTGACAGTGAAGGTCAGCTGGAGTAAGTGTTGTAGCGCCAGGTAGATGTTACAGTGAAGGTCAACTGGAGTGAGTATTGTAGCACCAGGAACATGTCGCAGTGAAAGTCAGCTGGAGTAAGTGTTGTAGCGCCAGGTAGATGTTACAGTGAAGGTCAGCTGGAGTGAGTATTGTAGCACCAGGAACATGTCGCAGTGAAAGTCAGCTGGAGTAAGTGTTGTAGCGCCAGGTAGATGTTACAGTGAAGGTCAACTGGAGTGAGTGTTGTAGCGCCAGGTAGATGTCGCAGTGAAGGTCATCTGGAGGTAGTGTTGTAGCGCCAGGTAGATGTGACAGTGAAGGTCAGCTGGAGTAAGTGTTGTAGCGCCAGGTAGATGTTACAGTGAAGGTCAACTGGAGTGAGTATTGTAGCACCAGGAACATGTCGCAGTGAAAGTCAGCTGGAGTAAGTGTTGTAGCGCCAGGTAGATGTTACAGTGAAGGTCAGCTGGAGTGAGTGTTGTAGCGCCAGGTAGATGTTACAGTGAAGGTCAGCTGGAGTGAGTGTTGTAGCGCCAGGTAGATGTTACAGTGAAGGTCAGCTGGAGTGAGTGTTGTAGCGCCAGGTAGATGCCGCAGTGAAGGTCATCTGGAGTGAGTGTTGTAGCGCCAGGTAGATGCCGCAGTGAAGGTCATCTGGAGTGAGTGTTGTAGCGCCAGGTAGATGTTACAGTGAAGGTCAGCTGGAGTGAGTGTTGTAGCGCCAGGTAGATGCCGCAGTGAAGGTCATCTGGAGTGAGTGTTGTAGCGCCAGGTAGATGTCGCAGTGAAGGTCAACTGGAGTGAGTGTTGTAGCGCCAGGTAGATGTCGCAGTGAAGGTCAACTGGAGTGAGTGTTGTAGCGCCAGGTAGATGTCGCAGTGAAGGTCAACTGGAGTGAGTGTTGTAGCGCCAGGTAGATGTCGCAGTGAAGGTCAGCTGGAATAATTGTTTTAGCGCCAGGTAGATGTCGCAGTGAAGGTCAGCTGGAGGGAGTGTTGTAGCGCCAGGAAGATATCGCAGTCAGTCCCGCATGACCTCTGATAAACACAACAATTAAGACATAATAGTGTGTCAGAGCAACCTGGAGGTCCTGGAAGGTCATCCCTACATGTGGTATCCTTGTATGAGTCACGTGGCTGATTCATGTGAGGGCGCAGTTAACGAACCCCAACAACAGTCGGAAGATGGCCCGAGTTCTAATTGGGTCAGATTTAATGGGCAAATAATTACATAAATTGCTACTGTTTTGAATGATGATTTAAAAAGACATTTAAGCAAGCTCTGGGATATATTAATTAGAAAATTTTTAGCTCTGTGTCAGTGAGTTTTTGAATCACTTCTAGGTATTCCTTACCAAGGTTTGTGTCATTTTGAACGGTAGTATAATAATAATATTATTATTAATATTAATATTCTTATTATAGTATTAAATCGTGACAATTGTGGCATTCTGAAAGTCAGTGAGGCGGTTATTGGTGTTAAGGATTACGTTGTAAGCATTGTTCCTTTTTCTTTTATACACAGTTTCACAAGTTTAGGTCAAGGATCCCTAGTTTTATTGACAAGCTATTAAACAGCTTAAAGATTCCTAACTTTATTGACAAACTAAGAGCTGTTATCTACATCAGCTCATTTGAAAGCATTTTTATTGTTACGAAACATACAAGTAAGGAACAGGATGAAGTTGGAGCCATCTGTGGGCCAGCATTTTCATTTAATCAACTCACTATATCTCGTTCATATCATTATCTGTGCGAACGTGTTCCAGACTCGAGTCATCAGATGAAGTGATGTTCTGGAGAAGGGTACAGCCAGAGTGAAGTTGTTGCTTTCTGCTCCTCTTGTGGTATAGAAGCTTGCTTCACGCTGTCCTCGAAGCGGATCCAAGTGTGGTAATCTCTCTGTCTCTCTCTCTCTTTATCTATCTCTCACTTTTTTTTTCTTTCTCTTACTTTTTCATTTACACAATGGTTTTGTATGTTAGGTTAAGAATTTCTACCTTTACTGTCACCTCTCACTATTCCACCACTTACTACTACTACTACTACTATTGCTACTACAACTACCACCATCCTGCCAGTATCCAAAGGGAGTGTAGGGTGGGGAGAGAGTTCGAGTTTACTATCCATACCTCATACATTTAGATAATTTATGATAGTCCTTACTCAATAAGAAAATGACCTTCCCAGTAAATTGTTTTGGTGATGACTAGAACTTTTTTTGTTGTCTGTCTTTTCCATTTACCCCCACGTATTATATTGACTGGAAAGCGTTATCCTAGTATGGTTTATACAGTGTAGGATCTAAGGATCCTAGGATCAGTACCCATCACCAGCACCAAGACACCACCTCATCCCCAGTGTCCGCTTTGACATGGTTATTAAGCGTATTTTATCTTCTAATAGCGGGATGCATAGCACAGGTAATACATATAACGAGTGTTGTTCTTCAGAGCGGTGAGTCAGGGCCGATCGTTCAGCTTCGACACTGTGGGAGTGACAGCGGGAGCAGCAGGGGAGGAGACGTGGACAGTGGCAGGCTTACAGAGCTTCACTAGATATATCTTCGTCCTGCAGGCCTTCAACGCTAAAGGTCCCGGTCCTCTCTCCACTGAAGTTTTTGCCACTACACTAGAGGATGGTGAGTATCGTTAACATCATTTTCATGGTAAGCTGTTAGGGGTCATACCTGGGAAAGCAGTCATAATCACGTATGGCCCATTGAGGGAAAGCTGTCCCTATTTCCGTCAGTCAAAAAAAAAAAAATTTCACTAACACAACACCTCTTTCACTGGAGATAGTGGGGAGTATCCTTTAAAACGAATATAATTGGTTCTAAAAACTCGTTCGTAACAGAGGTGTTCCGTTCCAGGCCACCAAATACAACTACTTAACAATGAAAATATAAAATTGTAAAAAGTGCATAAATTTGCATTTAAACTCCTAAAATAAAGAATGTCATTAATACTTATAATAAAAAATAAATAAAAATAACCAAAAGTACTGAACATTATCCAGTCTTAGTGTTGTTCAGTATATAGGACATGAGGCAGAGGGGAAGAGAATTACTGAGAAAAGCTGGAAGGCGTAGAATCATCTTTCCTAGTCCTCTTTGGTGATAGTCCTACAGGCAGTTCTTCTGTAAGATCTTTTTGAACGATATTCGTACGCAGTATCCCCTCAAGGGAGGTTCCTTGACGCTGGTGAGGGGCTCTTGATCTAGGGAATTGGATCTGTGCTCCGGTTCCCTGTCACCCTCTGTCACCCAACTTTTGGCGAAGTTTACCCTATAAGAGTTCTTGAGACTCCCGATTTCTAAAATAGCACAGTTCTAAACATAGAAAACTGGTGTCTTGCTTGTAAGTGCAGATACTAGTGCACATAAATTTAGGTGAGTACATTTATCATACATAATAACATATATATGCAAATTACCTAAGATAACCCAAAAAAGTCAGTGACTTATTTTCACTGGGGGCACTGTAATATCATGATTATATCCTTAAAAATTAAATCAACTAAGTAACTCTACGCGAAAATTATCTTTTAGAAATTTGGGTTGTTATGGGTTCCGGTGCTTTTGGTTCTTTTTGCTTGAAGTCATAAGATACACCTAATAACTAGAAATTGTTTGGGATAACGCCTTTATTGCTGTAGTATGTTTTAAATTTTTTGGAATTTGTTTTAAAGGTGTTCGATGCAACCGGCAGTTTACTTACTAAAGTTGGTGCAATAGTTGTGTAGAATGAATTGAAACAATTTGCCAATTTAGTTGTTTCATGGCATACCTTGTTATAGATATTTAGCACTATGTTAGATCTATCTACTGGTTCTAGGATTGTTCTTGTATTCGTCGATTTTTGAGCAACAATATCTTGCTTACTCTGCACCTTGTTCATTACCCTGTGAAATTTAAGGTAAACAGGCAACATCCTGCCTGTTTACCCGAAATCTTTGTAGCAACTGATATCTGAATTTGATATTATCTAATATCTCGGCAATTATCCAGGGTTCAGTTCTTCGTCTAATCCTAACCTCATTAACCGGTGGAATAATGTCAAAGATGGCAGTGAACATGGATCTGAATGTTTCCCAGGAATCATTTACCTCCGTGCAACTTGTTTGTGAGAAATTATGGTGAGGTTTACAGTTACAATTCTGAGTTATTTCACCCACATAACTGGGAAGAACTCTTGGCACAACTTAAACAGATGTTACTGATTCTCGTTGTACCTCGGAGACAGGTGGGACTCTAGGTCCCACCTGTCTCCAGACAGGTGGGACCTAAAGTCCCACCTGTTCGGAGACATATTCTGGAACATGTAATTCCATGTGCTGGTTCCAGGTGCTGTCCTGGGAGACAGTAATGGTGAAGCTGGAGATTTTGTCCAGGTAGTCAGGAAATATATGCAGGAGGGAATGCATGTAAATGACCTCATGGGAGACAGGAGCTGTAGTGGGGAAATAAGTGTAGTCAAGGACTAGATAAAACCAATATTACAAACTAGTAATACCACAGGAAATAGCTAACAAGAGGACCCCACTAGCAATAGTGAGGATATATTACCAAAAACAACTGGTGAGAGCTCAATTGTTGGTGCTAGTGAGGATAGGAATAAGACAGGTAAACATGCACCAACAGGGAATACAGTCACAGAAACCCAAGGCAAACGGAAGCCAAGCCTGTGCACATACTATGCACTTGGTATCTGCAGACATGGGAAATCTGGAAAAACAGATGGGACGTGCAACTATGACCACCCTAGAAAATGCCATGCCCATATGACAACAGGAAAATGCAAACTCCCTTCCTGTAAGCTTTTTCACCCTGAAATGTGTCCCTATTCAGTACAGGAAAGACTGTGCTGTAACTTAGATTGCCAGGCACACCATCTAAAGGGGACAAAAAGATACAAAACATCCAGGCCATGGGAAAACCTGGGTAGCCACAGCCACTCAAGAGGGAGAGATTTTTTAGTGCCAGGAAGGGAAAAAACTGGCAGGAAATGGCGGAAATCGTACACCAAATCCAGTCATTCCTGGAGTGGAACCACAGTCAATGGCCTCCACTCCAAACCAACAGATACAGATACTAATGCCGAAAAAAAAGTCCCCTCCCAGTACCAACAATACCACCAGTCCGATGACATTCTTCTTTGCAAATATACAGGGTCTAAAGCCAGCAACGAACAACAAAATACCTTTCATCCGTGGACTGCTTGCAGAGGCAAATGCAATGTTCGCGGCTTTCACAGAGACCCACATAAAGGATCACTTGGACAACGAAATATGGATCCAAGGTTACAACCTATACAGATGCGACAGAGTGAACAGGCAAAAGGGGGAGGTGTTGGCCTGTACATCGCAGAGTCACTTGTTTGCACAGAACTGCTTAATGCCTCAAATGATGTTGTGGAAGTTTTAGCAGTAAAGATCGAGAACCAAAACCTAGTCATTGTGGTAGTCTACATGCCTCCGGATGCAACGTCCCAGCAATTCCAGGAACAGCTGTTAAAAATTGACCACTCTCTGGAAAATCTGCCAGCTCCAGCCCCCAACACCTTGCTCCTGGGGTATTTCAACTTAAGGCACCTAAAATGGAGGAATATAGCAAATAATGTTGCAGTGATAACACCAGGAGGCAGCTCTGACGAGAACTCACACACACACGAGCTTTTAAATCTCTGCACAAAATTCAATTTAAACCAGCAAATAATAGAGCCTACTAGACTGGAGAATACACTAGACCTCATCTTCACTAACAATGATGATCTGATACGAAATGCCACCATATCAAAAACAATATACTCAGATCACAACATAATCGAGGTTCAGACATGTATGCGTGGAGCCCCAGACCGACATAATGAGATTAGTCACGAGGGAGCATTCACCAAATTCAACTTCAATTACAAGAACATAAAGTGGGACCAAGTAAAACAAGTCCTAACCGATATAAGCTGGGAAGATAGACTAAGCAACACAGACCCCAACTTATGCCTAGAACAGATTAACTCGGTGGCACTCGATGTATGCACAAGGCTTATTCCTCTAAGAAAAAGGAGGAGTAGATGTAAAATAGAAAGAGACAGGCGCTCCCTTTACAGGCGACGGAAAAGAATAACAGAGCGGCTAAAAGAGGCCAATATATCTGAAATGCGTAGGGAGTCACTGGTCAGAGAAATAGCAAACATCGAACTTAAGCTAAAGGAATCTTATAGGAGTCAGGAATCACGGGAAGAACTAAAAGCCATAAATGAAATCGAAAGAAACCCAAAGTATTTCTTTTCCTATGCCAAATCAAAGTCGAGAACAATGTCCAGTATTGGGCCCCTACTTAAACAAGATGGGTTCTACACAGATGACAGCAAGGAAATGAGTGAGCTACTCAAGTCCCAATATGACTCAGTTTTTAGCAAGCCGCTAACCAGACTGAGAGTCGAAGATCAGAATGAATTTTTTATGAGAGAGCCACAGAATTTGGTTAACACAAGCCTGTCTGATGTTATCCTGACGCCAAATGACTTCGAACAGGCGATAAATGACATGTCCATGCACTCTGCCCCAGGGCCAGGCTCATGGAACTCCGTGTTCATCAAGAACTGCAAGAAGCCCCTATCACGAGCTTTTACCATCCTATGGAGAGGGAGCATGGGCACAGGGGTCGTCCCACAGTTACTAAAAACAACAGACATAGCCCCACTCCACGAAGGGGGCAGTAAAGCAATAGCAAAGAACTACAGACCGATAGCACTCACATCCCATATCATAAAAATCTTTGAAAGGGTCCTAAGAAGCAAGATCGCCACCCATCTAGAAACCCATCTATTACACAACCCAGGGCAACATGGGTTTAGAACAGGTCGCTCCTGTCTGTCTCAACTATTGGATCACTACGACAAGGTCCTAGATGCACTAGAAGACAAAAAGAATGCAGATGTAATATATACAGACTTTGCAAAAGCCTTCGACAAGTGTGACCATGGCGTATAGCGCACAAAATGCGTGCTAAAGAAATAACAGGAAAAGTTGGTCGATGGATCTATAATTTCCTCACAAACAGAACACAAAGAGTAGTAGTCAACAGAGTAAAGTCCGAGGCAGCTGCGGTGAAAAGCTCTGTTCCACAAGGCACAGTACTCGCTCCCATCTTGTTTCTCATTCTCATATCTGACATAGACGAGGATGTCAGCCACAGCACCGTGTCTTCCTTTGCAGATGACACCCGAATCTGCATGACAGTGTCTTCCATTGCAGACACTGCAAGGCTTCAGGCGGACATCAACCAAAACTTTCAATTACTCAGATATGGTAAACATGAGGAAATAAAATCTTCATCAGAGTACAAAACAAATTCTGGCCACAAAATAGAGCGAAACACCAACGTCAAAGACCTGGGAGTGGTCATGTCGGAGGATCTCACCTTCAAGGACCATAACATTGTATCAATCGCATCTGCTAGAAAAATGACAGGATGGATAATGAGAACCTTCAAAACTTGGGATGCCAAGCCCATGATGACACTCTTCAGGTCACTTGTTCTATCTAGGCTGGAATATTGCTGCACACTAACAGCACCTTTCAAGGCAGGTGAAATTGCTGACCTAGAAAATGTACAGAGAACCTTGACAGCGCACATAAAGGAGATAAAACACCTGAATTACTGGGAGTGCTTGAAGTTCCTGAACCTGTATTCCCTGAAACGCAGGCGGGAGAGATACATGATTATATACACCTGGAAAATCCTAGAGGGACTAGTACCGAATTTGCACACGAAAATCACTCACAACGAAAGCAAAAGACTTGGCAGACGATGCAACATCCCCCCAATGAAAAGCAGGGGTGTCACTAGCACGTTAAGAGACCATACAATAAGTGTCAGGGGCCCGAGACTGTTCAACTGCCTCCCAGCACACATAAGGGGGATTACCAGTAGACCCCTGGCAGTCTTCAAGCTGGCACTAGACAAGCACCTAAAGTCGGTACCTGACCAGCCGGGCTGTGGCTCGTACGTTGGTTTGCGTGCAGCCAGCAGTAACAGCCTGGTTGATCAGGCTTTGATCCACCAGGAGGCCTGGTCACAGACCGGGTCGCGGGGGCGTTGACCCCTGGAACTCTCTCCAGGTAAACTCCAGGTAATAACAACGGTAAATAAGATTGTGGGCTATAATTATGATTCACTGACTTGACATTAAACAGTTTGTTGGTCCACAACTTTATTACATGTATTCATATTATACAACATTAAGAGAGTGGAAGGCAGACCATAGTTACTTATCAAGTTATTGTCTTTTTGATACATCATAACGCCTCCCTAGCCGGCAGATATACTAAATATTGGCCAATATTAGATACCTTAAGTAAGGAGTTGATACCATATTTTAGGGAGCTAGGATGAACTTATTATAGGTGCACTTGAAGAATAAATATCTCACAATCACCGCGTAAAGTATTATCTTCCTTATCAGCCCTATTCGGGAGGAATTAATATTGATATAAACACTTCAAGATACCTATGATATTCATTTCATGGTCCCTAATTATTACCGATACACTCTAACGTCGGCCACGATTACACATTATTAAATTCTGCAACACTCCATTTTACGTGTATGTTCAACCTTTTTTTTATTCGCTCTCCCAGTGTGTTGGTTCATCTGTCATTTGAAAATTTTCTAAAAGTCACACCAATACTACATTTTACTATTTTTTTTTTTAATTTTTACACACTAATTTCAGGAAAATTATAAAAATTTTCCACATTATAACAGTCCAATCACAACTGTGTATCCTGTTTACAATTTTCCCAGTGCAGTTGTGATAAAATGATAAATAAGACGCTGTGGTAATGACGCCTGACTGACTAATGTTATCAGAGGGTCACAAAATATGTGGTAGAGTATGGTGGCTGAGAACTTTGCGATCCGGGTTGGTGCATTAATTAGTTGAGTGTAACTGTTTAATCCTATAAGTTGCTTATACCTTTTACATATCCAGTTATTCTGTTGTTGACAACAGATATTAAAGTCTCCAAGTATGATTGCCTCACAATTGTGCTCAGTCCTGGACAAGATTCTCTACAAGTTTTCCAAGAACTGATCATGGTTGGGAGAGAACAAAACAGTTCCTACTAGTATGGTTTGGGCAACACCTCGAACCATAGAATCTCCAGTTTAGTGTCAAAGAAATCGGGTCTTAGGTTATAAGCTAAGACATTTCTTAAATAAGCACATACTCCACCACCTTGTTTATTTCTGTTTTATATTGTAACCTATTTTAACTTCATCGTTAATAACTGTCTCATCTAACCAGGATACATAGACATTACTGCCGCCTTAGTCTCGTTTGCTAAAATCTTAAACTCTGTGATTTTGGGTAAAAGTGACCTAACACTGGCATAAACAAAGTGAAGACCTGGTTATTTGACCAATTCATAATCATCGATATATTGCAAGGTTCAGTTACTGCAGAAAATTTTTATGCATAATCAAGGTCAGCACTAAAAATAGGTAACAGAGTTAAAGTGCATTTGTTGCATACAGATTGTGAAGAATTAGATTAGATTTTTGCCACCTAAGTGACTAGTTTATTGTGCACCCCATATCCATCCTGTGAACGGTAGCACAATAGCACATGGATACACAAAGGGCCTAGGAACTAGACCCTTTAAATGGTTAACATGAGTGCAGGAATACATGTCTGTTACAAGTAAATCTAGGAAATTTGCATAATGTATCTGATATCTTATTTTCATTGATATCTTGACATTATTGTACTATATATTCCTCGGTAAGTGGACAATTAAGCACATATTGTTCAAGATAGTGACTGTAGGGCTGGCCACATACTTTGCATTTTGTTAGATCATCCTCTGTGTGTCTACCAAACTGCCAGAAGTACTTGTAAACAAACCTAAGCCTAGCCACTGCAACATCAGTCAGTCTGTTCTCTTTGCAAGTTGAAAATTACACACATGTGCAACATCTGGGTATCTTTATTATAGACGCTTCCCCAATCAGTGGCTTTATCAATACAATTTCAAGGGCACAATTGGAAGACAGTAGAACTACATACAAAAGATGAGGTAATCACTCCCTCAGCCATGGAGTTAGTGAAGAGCACCGTAGTGAAGAATCTGGAGCACAGGCAAGGTAAGATGGCGCTTACATACTGGCGTCAGGTGGTGAGGGACACGTAGCAGACGAAGACATTCACTGTGAAAGTGCGAATTTCATTCACTGTGCTTAACACATTTATCCTAAAAAAATATATTTAATATTACTACTTATTTAGTATGGCGTATTGTGAGAGTAATTATTATTATTATTATTATTGTTATTATTATTATTATTATTATTATTATTATTATTATTGTCATTAAAGTCTAATAATAATGGTTAATCTTGCAGTTCCTGAAGCAGCACCGGAGGGGGTGACATGTGTGGCACTGACTTCCACTAGAGTTCAGGTGACCTGGTCCCCACCACCACCTGCACTCACCCACGGTCGCATCACCACCTACACCCTCACCTACACTCCCATGGACGACCACACAGGTCAGTACACCAGTCAAGATATTAATCTTCAATACCGATAAGTTTCGCATTAAAGGTACATGTCTTATTTATCTTACTGATGTGTCTTATTTACCTTATTTGTGTCTTATCTTACTTATGCGTTTTACTAATCTTACTTATGAGTCTTATTTTGCTTGTGCCTTACTTATCTTACTTGTGTGTCTTACTTATCTGAGGTGTCGTACTTATCTTAGGTGTCGTACTTATCTGAGGTGTCTTACTTATAATACATATGTGTCTTATCTTACTTAAGTCTTACTTAACATATTGGTCTTACCTTACTTAAGTCTTACTTATCTTTCTTATGTCTTACTTACCTTAATTATATCTTTTGTGTCTTACCAATTTTTGTTATGTGTCTTAATTACCTTACTTATGTGTCTTACCAATCTTACTTATGTGTATTGCTTATCTTACTTATGTGTCTAGCTTATCTTATGTGTTTTACTAATCTTACTTATGTCTTACCTTATTTGTCTTATCTTACTTATGTCTTATCTTATTTATGTCTTATCTTACTTATGTCTTATCTTAATTATGTGTCTTACCAATCTCAATTTTGCGTATTATTTATCCAGTATAAGTGTGTCTACTTGGCAAGTGAAGCATTTTCCTTCCCAGTCTTCTTAATTATTGCAGACACCAATGATATACATGTGTATGTGGCCTGGTGGTTAACGCTCTCGCTTCACACGGTGAGGGCCTGGGTTCGATTCCCAGCCAGAGTAGAAACATTGGACGTGTTTCTTTCCACCTGTTGTCTATGTTCCCCATCAGTAAAATGGGTACCTGGGTGTTAGTCGACTGGTGTGGGTCGCATCCTGGGACACTGACCTAAGGAGGCCTGGTCACAGACCGGGCCGCGGGGGCGTTGACCCCCGGAACTCTCTCCAGGTAAACTCCAGGTGCTCAGATTGACTCGACTTACACTTAAAATATGACCGACAACACCAAGTCCCTAAATGAACTAACTTCTCAACCATCAAGGCAATCAGACAGTTTGCTAGAACAATATGGCGACCCATTCGCCAAACAGCAATAATGCTCGAAGAAGCACAGCATCACGCAAGGAATAAAGGAATCCAAAAACTACCCTAACTGCAGACCTTCAGCAGATACTTCACAAAAGGCATAAAACTCCCCCATTACTGAAATTGGTTTCAGCACTTCCAGTTTCCCAACTGCGACAGTGTGTAGATGCCAGAACAAATGTAGGTCTAGAGTTGAACTCGGGACCAGAGATATAGAGTATCTCCACGACACAAACTATAAAAACGTCAAATATCACTATGTAATGGTAGTTTCTCCAGCAACCCAACTCAACTCACTGGGAGTCCTACCTGCAGTCCTCTGGTAGTCCCCATTGCACCCCACCAGCAATCCCTGGTAGTCTTTCTGGGTACCCACTGGTAATCTTTCATGCAACCCACTGGTAATCTTTCATGCAACCCACTGGTAATCTTTCATGCAACCCACTGGTAATCTTTTGTGCAACTCACAAGTAATCTTTCGTGCAATCCACTAGTAATCTTTCGTGCAACCCACTAGTAATCTCACCTGCAAGCCAATGGTAGTCCCACATGTTACCTATTGGTAGTCCCACCTACAATCCTCTAGTAGTTCCTCCTTCATCTCACTGGTAGTCTCATCTCCATTATTCTGGTATTCTTTCTTGTAAGTCACTTGCGGTGACTCATACAACCCAGTAGTAGGTTCTCCAGCATCCCACTAGTAGTCTTTAATGCAGTCCACTGGTAGTCTCAAATGCAACCCAGCGGGAGTCTCACGTGCAATCCACTGGTAACACATTTTACAACGAACTGGTAATATTTCCTACGACTCGCTGTTGATCAACCGACAATCCACACGTAGCTCTACCCCAAACCACTGGTAGTTCCACCTACTATCCTTTGATAGTCCCACCTGTGACTCACTAGTAGCCCAGCCATTACCCTAGTGGTAGTGACTCTTGAGCACCACGGGTAGTATCACCAGTAGATCACTGGAAGTCTATCCTACAACCCACTGGAAGTCCAACATTCAACCCAGTGGAAGCTCCACCTGCATCCCACTGGTAGTGCTATCTGCAATGCCGTGTTATTTCCCCTGCAACCCATTGGAAGTTTCTCATGCAAGGCAGTTTTTCTTGTAACCCTCTGGTAGTTCCACCTGCAACCTACTGGTAGTCCCATCTGCACCCCGCTGGAAATTCCACCTGCAACCCACTGGCAGCTGGTTACAGCTGCAACTACCAGTAAGTTTCAGGAAAGACTTCCAGTTGCATGCTAACAGGCTTATGACTGGGTTACAGGGAGAACTAGCAGTGAACTGTGGTTTTGTACAACCAGTGGGTTGCATTAAAGACTACCAACCACTTGGTGGTTGCTGGAGAAGCAAGCAGTGGGTTACACTGGGACAAAAAGTGAGTTGCAAATGTGACTACATTTACATGTGACTATATATAATATATATATATATATATATATATAATATATTGTAATATATATATATATATATATATATATATGTATATGTATATATATATATATTTGTATATGTATATATATATATATATTGTATATGTATATATATATATATATATTGTATATATATATATATATATATATTATATATATATATATCATATATATATATATATTATATATATAATATATATATATATATATATAAACCAATTCCTTCTTGAATTAAATAGTCTAGCTTCTAACATAATGTTTACTGTTGAGTTTAAACAAAAATAACTCATTGTCTTAAATATTAAGGGGAACCATGAAGTTAAATTGAAAATAGCAGAAAACCAACAAATAACTGTTCTTAAGTACTATATTATTTTTCACATCTGATAGTCACACATTCTGTATCTCATCCATGACTCACGAAATCGTAATGACACAATTGCAAACCATCTATACCAAGGGCGGGAATTGAACTCGTGGCGAATGATTCGTAAAACTCCAGGCCAGCGCATAGCTACCTGGAGCAGTGGCTTCCACACTGACCTGGAGTTTTACGACTCACCACGAGTTCAATCCCCGCCCATGGTATGGTTTTTTATCCTCACCCATTTTTTGAGAGCTTTCCGTATTTGCGATTCAGACATCATAGACGAGAAATTTTGAAATAGCAAATGATCTAAGATTGGGCTAAACCCACAAGAGTCATACAGTGCTGTTAAAATTCCCTGAAAACCTTATTGACAGTTATTTTAAAATTGCCAGAAATACATTTTACAATTCAAAAAATGACAGGCATATTCAGCCAAGAATATGTTCGTTTTTTCTTACAACGAAAACCCTGATATATTTTCTCTGCTTAAGAATTTTAAAATCAAAATTGTATTTATAAATACTGATACAGTAAAAAAAAAATTTGATTAAGAATTCTCCCAGAAATGCTGATGGTTGTGTCTATACGATTCCTAGTAAAAAATTATCAGTAAAGTTAATTACGGTCAAACTAGTAATAATCTTGAACTAAGATTACAACAATATAAATATCGCATTAGAAGTGGACAAAGTTTGATGCTGTTTATTCATGTTAGAGATTTAAACCATCCAATAGATTTTCTAAAGGCCGAAAAAGTTGTATTTAGCAGGTCAATGGTTGAGAGAAATATAATCAAATTAACCTTAGTAGTATTGATTTTAATATGAAGATTAGTTTATGGATTTATAGTAGATTCATTTATAATTATTAGAATTTGTAAGGCATTTAAGCTATGCCTGACATGTCGCTCATAAATCTTATTTGATTTGTTACCCGACCAAATATTAACTAATCTCAAGTTTAGCATGCTGAATGAGGTGTGAGGTCGCCTTTTTATAATTAATTCCTTGATAATGTGAGAAGTGACGAAAGCGAGACAACCTCTACTCATGCAGCCAGATGGTGTTAACTCAGAAAATTCATAAATCTAAAATTTTTAATCGTTCTCTAATCTTTTCACCGGTAATTAACCTAGCAGTAACTGGCCTTCTCAGGTCTACCAGCGGAGAGTCACGTGTCGTGACCGGACAGAATACCATCGTGGGAGACCTGGAGAGATACACCAACTACTCTGTCAGTGTGGCTGCCTCCACAAGGGCTGGCCTCGGGGTTGCTACACCCTGTCAATG